ACATCCAAGGCTCAAAAAATAAAGAAAACAAAAGACTTGCTTTGTGTCTCGAAACCAATTAATTAATTAACTAATTAAAAACAGAAAAACTAAAAAGTTGCCTTCTTTGCTTGTGTTTCTTTAGAGATGTGTTCTCTCTACCCCGCAGAAATCTGCTGTGCAGGAAGGTCCATCAAAACATCACATTACAAATGGCCATTCTCTGCCTGCTGTATCTGAGAGTCAGCTGGCAGCTTTGGAAAACCCTAACCTGGACCTCCCCAAGCCAGGAGTTAAATAAGGGACTTAAGATATGGAGAAAAGAGGGGAGGAGTACGAAATGTTTAGGAGTGGGAGGTTTCTGAAGCTGGAAGCGGGGAGGGGGGCTCTTCCCTGGAGCCTCCAGAAGCGGCATGACAGCTTCTGGATTTCACACGTCTAGCAGCCAGGACCGTGATAGGATAATTCCTGTGACTTTAAATTGTCCAGTTTGTGGCATTTCGTTAGGGCAGTCATGGGAAACTAGTGCACAGCACAAAAGGGCCTGCACAGTAGCCTGAATCTTAATACTATGTACTATCAGTGTGTGTGTGTGTGTGTGTGTGTGTGTGAGAGAGAGAGAGAGGGGGGGGGGGGGGGGGGGTGTGTGTGTGTGTGTGTGAGAGAGAGAGAGAGAGAGAGACAGAGAGAGAGAGAGACAGAGAGAGAGAGAGAGGGAGAGGTGTGTGCATGAGTGCGGGCAGGTGCATGCCACACAAGGGTATGAAACCAGAGGGCAATTTCCAGAATTTGGCTTTCTCCTTCCGCTGTGGTTTGGGTCGTGGCTTGGGTTGTCTGGCTTGCATGAAAAGCACACACGTCAAAACTCACCACACTAAACACCTGATGTGCAGTTTCTTCTATGCCAAACAGAGTCCAATAAATCTGTACTTAAAATAATGCGAATCTGGAGCTGGAGAGACGGCTCAGCAGACAAGAGCACCCACAACAGCCTGTACTTCAGCGCCAGGGGACACAGTGTCCTCCTCTGTCCTCTGTGTCGTTCACAAGTGCACACTCCGCCCCACCCAGTTCCACCACACGCACAGATGTACACGTAAGTAAAAATAAAAGAAATCTTAAAAAAATAAATTAAAAACAGAAATGTCAGAGGGTGGGGCTCAAAGTGTCAGTGTGCTTAAGAGACTTCTGTGCTCTCCTAACCAGGAACTGGGGATAACAGGTGTTTTATTATTATTTTGCTTTGAACAAAAAGTACTATTTGGGGGAAACACAGAAGCCCAAAACCACTTCAATAATGCCTCTTTTGGGTGCTTGTGGAGGTTAGAGGACATCATAATTTATTTGAAAGTAGACAAATAAAATTTATCTGCATTTAGCAAATCGCTCCTTGGTTTATACTTCATAATCCCAAATTATAAGCATGCCACAGAAAGTAGGCGGTCCTTTATCATCCAGATGTCTGTAATGTTCCTAGAACCAAAATAATGTAAAATGTTGGCTATAATACTGGCTAATTTTTTTGTTTGTTTTGTTTTTGAAAGGGGCAATTGCAGGCATGAACCACAGCACCTTGTAAAATATTGTTTTAATATATATCTCTAGTAAATAGCACGTTAAGATGAATCACCCAGTACCAAATTCCATGTATTGGAAGTCTCATTCCTTGGTATCTCAGAATGTTACTTCAATCGGAGAAACTTTAAACTGAATTATGTTATAGTTGACACAAGGTCTCATGCAACTCAAGCTGGTCTTTAACTTGTTATATAAAAGAGAATGACCTTGCACACCATCTCTCCTGTCTCCACCTCCCAGAGAGCTGGAATTACAGGCCTGAGCTGTCTTATACAGCTGGGGGACACCCTGAAGTAGTAATGTAGACTCTGGTGGGTTGGCTCAGCACTTGGAAGGCCCTGCCTCAAAAAAATAAAAAAATAAAAAAATAACTGGAGCGATGGCTCAGAGGTTAAGATCATTGCCTGCTCTTCCAAAGGTCCTGAGTTCAATTCCCAGCAACCACATAGTGGCTCACAACCATCTGTACTGGGGTCTGGTGCCCTCTTCTGGCCTGTAGGCATACACACAGACAGAATATTGTATACATAATAAATAAATAAATAAATATCTTAAAAAAATAAATTAAGGTAAAATGAAGTCATAAGAATTGTTTGTTGGGGTTGAGAGGTGGCTCAAAGTACAGGCTGTTCTTCCAGAGGACCAGGGTTCAAAACCTAATAGCCAAGCCGGGCGATGGTGGCGCACGCCTTTAATCCCAGCACTTGGGAGGCAGAGGCAGGCGGATCTCTGTGAGTTCGAGACCATCCTGGTCTACCAGCTAGCTCCAGGACAGGCTCCAAAGCCACAGAGAAACCCTGTCTCGAAAAACCAAAAAAAAAAAAAAAATGCTGGCTGAAAAAAAAAAAACAAAACAAAACCTAATAGCCACACGGTAGCTCACAACCACCTACAACTCCAGTTTCAGGGAAATTGGTGTCCTCTTCTGGCCTTCGAGGGCACTGGGAAGGCAAGTGGTACACAAAACACCTATCACTATAGAATCACTATAGAAGCCATTTTACACCAAGAGGTGCTCAGGAGAAACCAAACCTGCCAAAATCTTGACCTGGGACTTTAGTACCGGTGTCTGTGAGAACACAAACTGTTGCTGCTTACAGCATTTAGTCTGCGGCATTGTGGCATTTTGTTCTGGTAGCCCTAACAAACTGGTATAAACAGCAACGACACAAAATAAAAATCGGGGCCAGCAAAATCGTTTAGCAGGTGGAAGTACTTGCTGCCAAGGATGATCCCCAAGACCCAAATGGTGGAAGGAGGGGACCGAATCCCTCTAGCATCTGCATGTGGTCACCAGATGCATGTGCCCACATGTACAGAAAATAACAAATGCAATTAAACACTAAAAACAAGGGGCTGCAGCCAGACTATAGAATGCAGAGACCCTGTATCAAAAAAAAAAAAAACTAGCTAAACTAAAATAAAAAAATAACAACAAGGGGCTGAAGAGATGGTTCAGGGGTTAAGAGCACTGAATGCTATTCCAGATGACCCAGGTTCAATTCCTGATATCTGCATGGTGGCTCACATCTGTAACTCTAGGTCCAGGGAACCCAGTGGAAACCCAGTGCCCTCTTCTGGCCTTAGTGGGCACCAGGCACACAGTGGTATACAGAAATATAAGCAGGCAGAATGCCCACATACATAAAATGGGATTTAAATTTTAAAAAGTTACAAATAAAAACTGATAAAAGACACAGTAGCCGAGGTCGTCTCCTAAGGCCCTTGATGGGGATGTTTCTGCCTCCTCACTACCATGCGCTGCCTGGGGAGGTGAAGCTGGGGTCAGCTACATGTGAGTGAAGTGGCATTTTGTTGTTGCTGTGTTCTTTGTTTTGTTGGGCATTGGTATGAGGATGCTTTCAACCCTGCTTCTCAGACTTCAAAATCTTAGCTTTGAGCGTCCTAGGACCAGTTCCCCATGGGTCCCACAGAAAAAATGTGCACTACCTGTCCGCACCCCTTTCTTTTTTCCGATTTTTTCTTTGTTTGTTTTTGTTTTTCAAAACAGTCCTAGCTGTCCTAGAACTAGCTTTTGTAGACCAGGCTAGCCTCGAACTCACAGAGATCACTTGCCTCCTCCTCCCAAGGGCTGAGATTAAAGGCGTGCGCCACCACCACTGCCCAGCTTGGCTTTTTTGAGACAGGTCTCTCTACATAGCCCTTACTGTACTGAAATTCGCTATGTAGATCACGCTGGCCTTGGAATCATAGAGATCCTCCTGTTTCTGCCTCCCAAGAGCTAGGAGGTGTGCACTGCCACCACGCCTGACACCCCCTTCTGTCGGCTGAGGGCATGGCTCATTAGAAGGGTGCTTACGTAAGCATAGGGGAGGCTCCAGGTCTGATCTGTAGTATGAAAACAAAAACAGAACTCCAAACCTGAAGCCTCCCTGACTTCTCGAGCAAGGTACTCTGTGGACTTTCTACCTTCCGCCCTCACTTACTTTTGGCCCATGTTAGTCACGTGAACTATTTTCTAGGTACCCACCCGATACATCTAGTCAACAGAACTCAGTGCTCTTGGGTTTTTCTTTGTTCTTGTCTTTAAGACAGATCTTTCTACAGCTGGCCTTGGCCAAGCGAGTCTACTGCCTTCATCTTCCCAGGCACGAGGACTACAGTGTGCCATGTCTAGCTTCAACCACCCTCGGTGAGCTAAGCTCTGTGGGAAATACTAAATCACACAACCACAGAATGACGTCCACAAATTCACTAATTCACTGTTTTGTACAAGCAAACAGTGTGTCATTTGATGGGAAGGACTCAAGCATCCAGAGTGTTGACCCATGAGAGTCCTGGAATCCATCCGGACAGATATTGCGAGATACCCAAATGATCATCCACACCCCTCACGTTCTGTCCTCCAAGACAACTCTTTTCCTGGCCACTCTTCTTCTAACATTTATGTGTGTGTGCACGTGCGTGTGTGTATGTGTGTGTGTGTGTGTGTGTGTGTGTGTGCAAGCCAAAGGACAACCTGTGGAATCAGTCCTTCCTTCCACTATGTGTGTTCTGGTAATCAAACTCAGGTCATTGGACTTGGTGGCAATCGCCTTTATTGGCTGAGCCATCTTGTCAGCCCCATGCCTATTTTTGAACTCAGTGCTCTTGGGTTTTAACTCCCCCAGGCATGGGCCACCATGTCTAGCTTTTACACGAAGGTTAGGTATCTACACTCAGGCCCTTGAGCTGACATAGCAAGCCCTTCACCTGGTGAACCATCTTCCTAGTCCTGTGAATAGTTTAACAGAACAGTTACAATCATTCATTTATATATTATCCATTGTTGTTTTAATTATAACAAAACCAAAACATTACAGCAGAGACTGTATGGCTCACGAAGCCCACAATACTCGCTATTTGGCCTTTACAAGAAAAAAAGTGTTGCCCTCTGCTCTAGACAAGCAATCTAAGAATACAAAAAAGCCTGTCAGACTCACCCGAGGTGTTGTCTTCTTATACTGGTCACCACCATCTATCACATCCCTCATGATTTTTCCCTTGAGAAATTCATATTCTTCTGGACTCAGATGAATAGACTCTAAGGCTCTACCACAGCTTGAACAATGGCCACTGCAATTGCAACGTTTTATATTAAATAATGTCTTGGAAAATAATTTTTTCTAAAATTAGTAATTCCAAAGCACAAGGAAACAGAAATGTAAGACAAAAAAATAAAACCTTTGTGATCATCACATTTGTTTTTTTTTTTCCCTTTTTTGTAAACCTCAAAATATCTATCAGTATGCCAGAAAATCCAGAAAAGAAAATCACCTAGATGAAAAAAATTTTTTTTCTACAAAAATATTTTAGGTATATGTATGCTTTACATTAGAAGAATCACGGCGTGGGGGGGGGTGACAGAGAGAGACGGCAGAAAGAGCTAGGTAAAACTTTTAGTCATTCCTAAAACACAACTAGGTCAGTCTTCTAGGGGCAAACATCACTAAGGTTTAGCAAGAGCTCACAGTAACATTTAGAGTACTCCAGAATCTGTCTACATGCCTGTAATCTCAACACATGGAAGCTTAAGGCAGCAGGATTGTTGTATGCTTGAAGCCAGCTTGGGCTACAGATGAAGACTCTCAAAACAACAGAGATTTTTCTCCTCTCAAGAACTTTATAAATTCTTGATTATCCTACCCCTAAGATGTCCTTAAACATTTTTTTTTTAGTTATCAGAAGCTTCCCTACCCCAAAGAAGATTTACTTTTAATTATGTCTGTGGGGTGTGTGTGTGTGTGTGTGTGTGTGTGTGTGTGTGTGTGTGTGTATGTACAAGTGTGCAGGCAGAGGTCAGGTGAGAGCAGACAATCCCCTGTAACTAGAATTACAGGCAGTTGTGAGCCACCAGATGTGGTTGCTGAGAACGGAGCCAGATCCTATGTAAGAGCAGGAGCAGCTCTTAACCACTGAGCCATCTCCAGACCTTCCTACTTTTTTTTTTTTTTTCTGGTTTTTTAAGAAAGGATTTCTCCATATAACAGTCCTAGCTTTCCTGGAACTTACTTTATAGACCAGGCAGGCCTCAAAGTCACAGAGATCCACCTGCCTCTGCCTCCTATGTGCTGGGATTAAAGGCATGCGCCACCACTGCCCAGCTGAGAGCTTCCTATTTTTAAGCCAGTACCAACAGAACTTACTATATCTGAATCAAACAAATTGAAGACAAATAAGGGTCTTTACCTTCTCTGGACTGTAGTGAACTGTCCTTTCCATTGTCTTCCAGGAATGCTACAAAAAGAGATTACAAAACCAGATTATCAGAATGTTAAAAATTCCTACTGAGTCTAAAGATAATCACTGTATTTAGACATTCTGTAAGGAAGAGATCAGAAAAGTTCAGAATACTTTCTTCGGATGGCTTTCACAACGACTGCTAGGATGTGGTTGAGGTTAAGGACCAGACAGCATTCTACTGTATCCTACAGCATCCCTTTGGTTCACCTTCTGACATAACCCTCCTCTTCCTCAAGTCCTGTCTAAGGGTAGGCATGACGGTGCATGCCTTTATTTCTAGCACTGGGGGTCAAAGGCAAGCAGATCTCTGTGAGTTCAAGACCAGCCTGGTCTATACAGAGTTCCAGAATAGCCAGGGCTACACAGAGACCCTGTCTCAAACATAACAACGACAACGACAACAACAAAATCAAGCCTAAATCTACCTTCACTGGACGTATGCAAAAAAACTAGAGATACTATTTAAATGACACTCAGCTCTAACCATCTTCATAAAGCTGCCAGACATGGCGCCTGCTTGGAGTAATTTCTCTGTTCTTTTGTGCTGCTGCTACCTGTAGACCACTGCCAGGAACGGCATTTCTAATGAGGTTGAGAACGGCATCCTAATAGACACTATGCAGGAAACACACAGTTTGTGTAATTGGAGCCATCCAAAAATTATTTATTGACTTATTCTCAGTCACCATACCCTTACTTCCTATTGATTCTTGAACCTATCGCCTTCTTTCCTTCACCAGTTAATTCAGACCTCACGACCTCTTACCGAAATCTAACATTGCACCCAAACAAATCTCCCTGTTTTCAATCTTAACTCCTCTCCCATCAGACCTTCTCCTTGTTCTTCTAAAACTCTACTCCAAAACCGGCAGTCTTGAAAACAGAATAAACCCTAAGCTCTAAGACTTTCTCACTCTCACTCCTTCTTTGGATGCTCAATAAATCTGTTAAGATCATCAGACATGATTCCTACCCAAGAGTTCTGCAAACATGATATATAATAAAAAGAGAAAAAAGAAGGAGCAAGCTTTTAGGAAATGGCCTGACGTAAGTTAACGGTGAAGAAAGGAGAATAAAGATTGGAGCAATAAACAGCTATGCGGTTGATAGCATGAGTCAAAGCAAAAGAGAGCCTGGGAGAATAGCCAGACAAGGAAAGATGCAAAATCAAATGGGGGGATGGTTTTCCACTGAGTACCAGGATTGATCAGGAACTGCCCTGTCCACTCTGAGCATCCTAAGTGATGAGACCCAGGGATTTCAGAATAACCGTAAGCACATTATTTACGCCACGACTTTTGAAAATATGATCATTGGGTAAAGCGTTTGCTGCACACGCAAGACCCGAGTTCAGATTCCTGGAACCTTGTACGAGCCTGGCATGGAGCCTGTACTTGTAACCCCAGCAACATGGGAGTAGAGACAGGTAGATCTCAGACGAAATGCTAAGCTCCAGGTTCAGCCAGAGATTGTCTCAAAAGGAAGGTGGACTTTGATAAAAGACACCCAGAGTCAAACTCTGCTCTTCACACCCGAGTATGCATCCACATACATGTGTGCACACCCCCCCACACGCACCTAAACCCGTTTCTTGCTCTAATTTCTTGCTATAACATAATTATTCACGTTAGATATCTCAGAAAATAAGATGAATTGTAGTTTTAAAAGGAAGAAAACTATTATATAAAACAAAAGACGCTGTATAATTTCCTTTTATGCGGTGAGGAGAGATTGGCACAAATTACTACTACTTTTTCAAGAGAATATTTTGCTTTAAAAGTAGAATAGTTCTTACCTCAGGATGGGAGAAAGCACAATCTGAATAAAATGAGTCTCGGCAACTAATAAACAACACAAAAAAAGGGGTCTACTTTAAAAATACAGGTACCAAGAGAAAACCACACAAGCAAAATCAAAATTACCTTTCAAACCATGTTTTTATACTGTGTGCAAATGACTCTCCAGGATACAGCTGATTATTCCTTAGATACAGAAGAATGTCCAGTAGTTTGTCCGAATAGTCATCATCATTTATGTCTTTGCCAAAATCAAAGAAGGCTTTTAAAGTTTCCAGCAGAGGAATGAGATTATGACCTACCAGTTCCTGATACAAACTCCAGGCCATGTCCACATCCTGATGAAGGAGGGCTCCCTGAATACAGTCATTATAGTTCCTTTTCGAAGGGACCGTGACTTTTTTAATGTCTTCTAACAGCAGCAAGGCCTCTCTCCACCTGTCTGAGTGGATCAATCCCCGGATGAGTATGGTGTTAGCCGCAGTTTCTAAACACTTGTACTTGGCTTTCATGATTTCATAGACGTCAATAACTTCTGATGTCTGCTTGTGAAAGACGCAGAGACACAAATACTTGACTAGTAAATTGTACCCTACGATGCCATTGTTCTTTGCTGCGACCCAGGCCAGGAGGGACTTAGCCACATCTACAGAGCTACTGCTGCACACCATCTGCGAAATGACCCAGTCTTCAAAACTGCCCTTCCGGTTGAAATCCTCTTTAAGTTTATCCCACTCTTCGGAATTCAGGGGTTTAGTTGGAAGTTTGATCGTCCTCCTCACACGTGACGGGGCATGCTCTCTCGGCTGGAGGTTGCTAGTTAAGTGTGACCTCTTCTTAGCTGCCCCGGCAGCAAAATAATGATCAAAAGAACCTTGCCTATTGCTGTCATGTCCTTTCTTGAGTGTTCTAGCTTTGGCAAGCTGCAGATTTATTTCTTTGCTATTTGGAGGGGGCGTGGTTTTGACAGAAAACCATCGGTGCTGGTTCCTGGTAACCCTGAGAAAGGAAAAGACAGGCGAGGTCGCAGGGCCCAGCTCTAAGGAAAGGGTGCTCGTCCAAAGTTTCGGAAAGCTCCGAAAACCAGGCAAATAGAAGGTCATTCTGCAGTGAGTTGAATGAGGCTTAAAAATAAAGCAGCTCCGCTCTGCTATGGAAAATTACGAGATTGGAGGCTGAAGATAGTTGATGCACAGTTCTTGAAAAGGAGACTTTGTGTTTCTCCCTTACAAACAAATCACGATTGTGCTTTAGGAGTGATTTAAAGGCAAGGAAAGCATACAAGTTCTCTCCATTAAACAATGATCCAGGGATCTTCAACACCAGTAGCAAGTTCTAAACCAGAAGACCGCACGGGAATCCTGTCACATTCCAATTTTCGAATCTAAGGAAAAAGCACAAGAGGGACCTCTTAGTTTGACTCATGTGCATCACAACGGTCCTGAAGAAGTGCAAGGTACCAAGAGAACTAGAACAGGGAAATAAAGTAACAGCCTCGACCAGGAACCACCAACCGCAGCCCCACCAGCAAGAAAAAAGTCTAGGGTCCCTTGCTCACCTTTACATTTTCTACAGGCCTTAAAACTCCTCAAAGAAGAGGGATCAGGGGGACGCAGCACAAACATCACAGGGAAGGAAGTGAGGTCCAGAAAGAACTTAGACTTAACTGTATGGAGGGCCGACGAAAGAAGTTCACTTCATTCAACAACTCACCACGCCACGCATGCTTAAGGTAGCCATAAATGCGGCCAAAACTACAGTACCCACAAGGCACCGCGCTGAATGAGCCGCCAGGGTCTCGGTGGCTCAATTTCAGGCGTTCTATTGAGTCTGACGAAGAAAAAAAAAGAAAGAAAGGTAGTTTTGAAGCTTTAGTATCCAAGAGGACTGGAAACGACTGAGGAAGCCTCTATTACATCTTTGGAGATTGTCAAGGCTTCCAGAGCGAGAACGAAATGTGACGAAAGTGCGTTTCCCAAGTCGGAAAAGCCAATGGATTCCTGCATCCTGCGGTGCGCACGCGCCAAAGGCCCGCCTCCAAGAACTCACGAGGGCTTCTTATTGACCTTTAGGATCGGGTTTGGTGACTTGGGATACTCTTATGAAGGAGAATAATTTTTCATCTATTTCACGTCTGCTTTTCGTCCCTGCTAGCGTGATCGCCGGGTCCGGAACAGATACAGCATTCGAGCTTTTGCCTCTGGAGCTACGGCTTCCGCCCGTGTCCAAGATGGCTTCCCGGCGTCCTTCTTCCACCTGCCTTTGGTGGCGTTTGACGTCGGAGCTGGTAGTGGGTGGAGCGGTTAACAACCCGCAAATGTAGGGTCCTCTGAGCGGGAGTCAGCCATGGACTGGAAAGACGTGCTCCGCCGGCGCTTAGCGTCGCCCAACACGGATTCAAAGCGTGAGTTCGGGAGGGACAGCCAACCGGATAGCCCGCCCCAGGCCAAAAGGTGGCGGGTGGCGGAGGGGGGGTGAATAGGGCGGGGAGGAGGAAGGGCGAGTGACTCTTTCCGCGTCTGGTAAACTTATCTGACAAAAGAGAGTGAGTGCAGTGTGCTTTCAGCGGTCCGCGGAGGGGTGACCCAAACTTTCCTGGTAAATCGAAAAGCGCAACCGTGGCACCCGTTTTCCACGTTTTTAGGCTTATGCGGAATAACTGAGAACCTTGGTGCCCTTCGATCTTACCAAGACCTATTTATCCTTATAGCTTCCCCCCTCGAGCCCTGGTCAGTCTTGACTTACTGGCCCTCCTTGCCCCAGTTTCCCGAGTGCCACAGCGCCTTTTAACTATCACTTTTCACATACCCCTCCATTTTAAATATCATTAATCCGTTTTCCATTGTTCGTTCCCCGGCCCTTCACACTTTGCTTGCCCATCGGTCTGATTAAATTCTACCAGTTCCACACCAACACCCAGGCAGTTGAAATGGGCTAAAGGAAAACAGAACCTAGAGAGATGGCTCTGCCATCAAAGGCTAGACTGACAACCAAAAAGAAAAACAGAACCATGGTGAGTTCTCACTTAGAATCCATGTCCGCTAAAGTAAAGTATATTTTAGTCGCATCTGCAGGAAGAGCATTTGGTCTTCCACACTTAATTCTTCTCATCCTCCCAAATCTCCAGTCTGCCCGTACTTGTTTTCAAATAGTATCTCAAAGAGGAATTAGAGCCAGTTAAAGGAGAACCTCAACTCCTTCCGGTTACCATTGCTCTCAGATGCTAGGTATTAATCCTTCTATCCAACCTTCGCCTTTAACTTGAATTGTCACCTTAAAATGAATTGTCACCAGGTACTGGTGGTGCACGCCTTTAATCCAGGCTCTCCGGAGGCAGAGGCAGTTGGATCTCTGAGTTCTGGTCTACAGATAGACTTCCAGGACAGCTAGGGAGGGCTACACAGAAACCGTGTCTTTAGAAGAGAATTATCTGTACCCCTCCTGGAGTCCCTCCAGTCGCTCCTTAGGTTATATCCCTTCTCATAGATGTACTGGCTTCTCTTCAGTTTGTTCCCCTCATACATTATCGGCTCTTCCTTTTCTCCGCCATCATTTCCCTTATCACTCACAAACATGTAATAGCCTGCGTGCATATATGTATACCATGTTTGTGCAGTGTCTGCTGAATGAAAATGAGGACGTGGCTTTTCCTAGGTCTGGTTGAGGAGATGGTCTTATTGTAGATATGAGGGAGAGTTCAGCCAGAGGCATCTGGAAGGCTCCAGACTGAGTGTGGCCAGCAGAATAGACCGGGCCATGAGAGGGGAGAGAGGGAGAGAAGAGAGTTGGGGGCAGGCGGACCAAGAGTGCACATGGGAGCCAAGAGCAGAGCCACTGGAGCATCATAGCCAAAATAGATGAGTTCTCTAGGATCAGAAGCTGGGGGAAAGGGAGCCCAGCCCCTCGACTGGGGACCTTTAGGTACTGTGTAATGCTGAGAGCGGTCCTGAATCAGCTTTGAAATGATAATAGGCACCTCAGTTAGCGGTTCATCCCTAAGCTTATTTGAGACCAAACCCTGCAAAGGCCAGAAGAGGGTGTTGGATCCTCTGGAACAGGAGTTACACTTGGTTGTGGGCTGCCATGTGGGTGCTGGGAAACAAACTCAAGCCTTCTACAAGAGCAGCAAACCTACTGAGTTTTACTACTCTTAATCCTACTGAGTCATCTCTCCAGCTCCCCACCAATGCTTACCACATTTCGCTTCGCCTTTACTAGGGGTGCTGCCTCTGCGCCATGTGTGTATTGCAAATTATCTGGATTGTCTGGATAGTATTAATAGCTCCTCCTTAAGGCTATTGCCGTCAGCGTAGTAGATCCCATCCGTGCGGCAAATTTCCTTTGTCTACCAAGGATAACCTGTGTCATCAGGCTTTCTTAAATCATTTTCTTTTTTTTTTTTTTTTTTTTTTTTTTT